TGTTAGGGAGCAGAGAAAAAGGCAAGGACTTTGGTGTGGGATGGGGGTGAAACATCTCTTGGTGGCTTCTCCCCTTTAAGAACAGGGTCTGTGTGGTGGGACAGTTCTGAGGGCAGTTTATTGAAAGCTGTAGCTTTCCCTTCTACAAGGGTAATTGTGCACAGCGGATGAAATCATTAGTGTCTTCCCCTTACATAAAATCAGGGACACTGGAAGGTTATGTGAAAGTTGCTCAGTCTCGACTCTTTGCAACCCCATTGTCCATCGAATTCTCCAGGCCAGAATACTGAAGTGGGTAGACTTTCCCTTCTCCAGGGGATCTTCCCAACTCTGGGATAGAACCGGGGTCTCCTGCATTGCAGGAGGATTCTTTACCAGTTGAGCTACTGGGAAAGCCCGTGGAAGGTTATGTTTCCATTCAAAAAGCTGACTGTTTAAAGGAACCACTGTAGATGCTGAGAAATAAAATGGTGTAAACATAAACCTCTGAAAATAGAAAAGAATGGCAGAGCCAGGGCTCTCTTTTTTTTTTTTTTGAGTCAGGGCTTTTTAAGGCACAGTTGGTAAGTAAGTTGCAAGGACCAGCGGTGCCCACAGGACATTTCAATTTGTAAAGCTTTGGGCAGGGTGTTGGGAGCCCTTTCTGTGTGGCACCACAAGTTCAGCTTCCTCCAAAACTCTTATTATTACTTTCACTTTCCAGATGAGGAAATGAAGCTTCAAGAGGTGAGACTTGCTCTCGGACTCTGAACACAGAAAGTTATGCAGTGCAAGGTAATGGAGGAATTCAGTTCAGTCTAGGCTCAGCAGCATATAGGTCACAACTTTTCACTGAAATTTTGATGGTTCGGGTTACCTTTTGTGATTGGTCACATTTTTAGATGAATCAATTCACTTGTCTGATTTGTGAAAGTGTGAAAGTGTTAACTGTTCAGCCATGTCTGACTCTTTGCAATTCCATGGACTGTGCCCCACCAGGTTCCTCTGTCCATGGAATTTTCCAGGCAAGAATACTGGAGTGGGTTGCCATTTCCTTCTCCAGGGAATCTTCCCAACCCAGGAACTGAACCCAGGTCTCCTGCACTGCAAGCAGATTCTTTACTGTCTGACCCACTAGGGAAGCCCCTGTCTGATTTGCATTTAATTATAACCCAGGAGTGAAAATGAGCATGACCTGCTTGGGCTGGTAGAAGCACACACAAAGTGAGATTTTTTTTTTTTTCCCATTGTCATGCACAGAGGCATATACCACTCTTGCATCATTTCATTTCATATCACCCCTTTGATGGAGCCATGTTATTTCCATTGTAAGGATGAGGAAATGGAGCCTTAAAGAAGTCAGGGAATTTGGTTCATGTCACTTAGCAAATAAGTTGTGCAGCCAGGATATGAATCTAGAGATGGTCCTAAGAACAAGTGTGGACTTTATTTCCAGGCCAGTTTGTAATTGTAGAGATCCTTAGCCACTTTTGATTCTTGAACTGGGGAATGACTTGATGAAAATGAAGAAAAGGAAGAGCTGTTCAGTGGCATGATACAGGATTCACAGATGGAGGGAAGAACTGGAGTGCAGAGATCAGACAGGAAGTTGTGGCAGCAAAGTCGTGCAGGCCCTGGAGACCGAGGGTTTAGGGTTTGGAACTAGAAAGCCTGGCTCCAGCCTTGTCTCCACCATGATGCTGCTGGCTGGGGACCTTGGGCAAATTATAGCCACATCTCTGAAGCCTTGGTCCTCCTCCCCAAATAATGGGCTTGTAAACTGACACAAGAAAATCTCTGTCAAACTCCAAAATTCTGCCTGATGCCCAATGAAGTCTAAAGATTTACATATGAAGACCCTGAATATCATCTAGAATCCAGGAAAGAATTTAAATGTAATAATTCTCAACAACAATGACAATATCAATTCTCAACAGATTTTTTCAAGTACAGAGGAATAAAATTGTTTTTAAGAATGTTTTTTAAACCAGATTATATCGAGACAAGCCAATCATTTCTGCATCTTATTGTTTTCTTTGTTTAAGAAAATGACTTGGGTTATTGTTGCTGCAGTAGCGGTTGACGACATTAAAATCAAATAAGAATATTACTCTTGAAACAAATGAAGTGATTTAAACCTATCTCTCTAAGATATCTCATGAAAATATACCTAGGAGACACAAATTATACTGTCATCAAATTAATTGGTTTTCTAAGCTCAAATGTAATTTAAAATATTATATTTCTTCGACTGGTCCTATCAATAGACTTTAAAAGGATTTTAGATAGAGAACATAGGAAATAAATACAGTAATGTTGAAGCAAATAATCAACAAAATAGTTGCTCTGTGTTCTGTTGCCTGTACAGCTTCTAGAAAGTATTTTTAACGACTCCCTGAGGAATCGGCTCTTGCTCTTCGGCCAGGAATCGGCCAGGCTCTTCACTCCACTAGCAGCAGCAAACTTTTCTTCATCCTCATATTCTAGAACAAATCCATTTCCAAGCTGTGCTGAGTCCTTGGTCTCAGTGTTTCTCAGAAATGAACCCTTCCTTTTCTACAGAGATTCAGGGGTGGGGTTCCCATTTCTTGACTGCAGAAGTGCCTCCTCCTTAGAATAACCTAAGGGGCAAGTGACTCTTCCTGAGATCGAGTCAGTTCTATTCTTAAAAAACCTTCAGGGATCCCATTAGCTTCCTGGATGAAAGCTGTCTGTAGTGGAGAGCCCCATGCTTTCACCAAGCAATGCATTAGCTTTATTTCAGGCTTTAATCTCCACACCTGCGATTTGGTATTAGACACGCTCTGCTCTTTCTCTCTGCCAGTTCACGGCCATCACTTCTTTTGATTCTGTCTTGAAACATTTCCTTCAGGATGTTTTTCTAGTTTAGTAGCAGCTTAGCAAGTAAACAACTCCCATTTCTGAGTTTTTAATCACATTAAATGCTTTCAAGGTCTATCAAGTCTAGACATAAAAAATTTTTATAGAGATTTTCATTCTTTAAGAAATCACCCAACAAGGAACTATATTCAATATCTTGAAAATACTTTTAATGGAAAAAAATCTGAAAATTTATATATACAGTGTCTCTACATATTTATCTCTATATATCTGAATCACTTCGCTGTACTCTTGGAACATTGTAAATCAACTATGCTTCAATTAAAAAAAAAAAGGGCACAAAAAACACAGAGTGATTTTACTTTGTGAGCACTCCAATTTTTAGGTGTAAGAATCCACACTAGAATAAGAGCAAAACGACTCTTTCTGGTGACCTCTAGTGGGCACTAGATAAACCTACACAATTATGAAAAGTGAAGGGCAAAGTAAAACCCTTCCCAGTAACCAGCTGGGTGTACTCTGAAGTCAGATCACCGCATCCCACCTCACCCCACCACACTCTTCTTTTTCCTTCCAGGACGTTTTGCATTTAACAGTTTGCCTTAAAACTCACCTGTTTCGCCTCTGGCGGGTACTGCGCGAGCAGGGCTGCCAGTGCCGGAGGTCGTGTGAATTGCTTGGAGCAGTGTAAAATAGTCCCTGCCCAGTGGAGCCCACTCCCAGGGCATCGAGCAGTGCCCAGGGAAGTACCCTCCGCAGAGCCTGAAAGGGCTCTTCAAGCGCGAGGGCCGGTGCTGCAGCCGGCTCGGAGGTGCACAGGAGAAATTAAGACATTATGAAAAGGAGGATGCAGACGGAGATCAGGCAAAATTCTGTTCTTGCCAGTGGCAAGACAATTCTCCCCAGATTTTCATCCCACTCTACAGGGAGCGTCACAAGGGGGTCCAGGGGCGCTAGGCTTAGGCGCTCTCTTAAAACCGGCGACCTAGAAAGCGGGGGATGGAGCCGCTCCACTCCGAGAGAGGCGGCAACCGAAGCTGGGTGCTGGGATGTGTGGCCGCCTTCGGAGCACGCGGTACGTGGGTCTCCGCGCCGGGAGAGAAAGGAACAAAGTCGGCAAGAAAAGAATTGCTGGGGTGCCTTCTCTTGAGAAATCCTGTGGGGCGGTCTCAAAACCTAGCTGGGCTCCGGAGAGTTTCTGGAAAAAGCTCTCCCAGAGCCGTCTGTCCCCGCCCCTCAAATCCTGCACCCCAGTCCTCACTCCTCCTTACCCTCCTGCAACCTCCTTTTGGGGGGGCGTTAAAAGGGCCCTTGGGGACTCCCCAAGTCATCCCGATGGTCCGGGGAGGGACGCGGGAGCTGAGACCCCAGGCGCGGGGCTTTTCTACCCCTTCCACTCGGGGCTCCAGGCTCGGCGCATCCCTGCTCCGCGGACCCCTCCCGGCTACTGCGGGCGAGAGCGGAGGGGGAGGACGGCGTCACGAGGCGGGGAGCCCGAGGTCCAGGGCGGGGCGCCGGGGAATCCCAGCCCGAGCGAGGTGCGGGCTCGGGTGGGAAGAGGAGGGCGGCGCGCGGAGGGAGGTGAGCGGAGCGGAGCCAGGAGGCAAGGAGGGGTAACCGCGAGGAGGCCCCGCCCCCGCCTCGCGGGGCCGGCTTTCTGCCGCCTCCGAACCCGCTCACTTTGCCACTTGCCTCTGGACGGCGGTGGGGCGCTTGCTGGATCTGCGGCCAGAGGGAGAGCCGGGGACCCGGAGCCATCCAGCGCCCGCGCTTCCTCTCGGCGCACACGCCCCCGGGGCGGGGGGGGGGAACAGCGCCGCCGCCTTGAAAGGGCACCCCGGCCTCGGAGGGAGCATCCCCCAGGCGCGAGGGGCGGCGGCGCTGGCAGCCTCTTTCTCGGCCAGTGGGGCGCAGCGCTGGCGCCTGCGGGGGACTCCCCGGCCACCTGCAGGGACCGCCGAGCGGAGGGAGCGTCGCTAGCAGCCGCGCTGGGCTGCCGAGAAGGCTAGAGCGAGGGGCCCCCGGGCCAGCGAAGGGCAGCAGCGGAGCCCCGAGGGAGAGCCGGCCGGACAGCCCGCGGGCCCCGACGGCGCGCTCTCCCGTCCGCCAACCGCAGGCAGGCCCCGCGCGGCGGCCGGAGGGGGCGGCGGCGGCGCCCTCGGGCTGCGGGGCAGCCAGCCATGACCTTCGGGCGCAGCGGGGCGGCCTCGGTGGTGCTGAACGTGGGCGGCGCCCGGTACTCGCTGTCCCGGGAGCTGCTGAAAGACTTCCCTCTGCGGCGCGTGAGCCGGCTGCACGGCTGCCGCTCGGAGCGCGACGTGCTGGAGGTGTGCGACGACTATGACCGCGAGCGCAACGAGTACTTCTTCGACCGGCACTCGGAGGCCTTCGGCTTCATCCTTCTCTACGTCCGCGGCCACGGCAAGCTGCGCTTCGCGCCGCGGATGTGCGAGCTCTCCTTCTACAATGAGATGATCTATTGGGGCCTGGAGGGCGCGCACCTAGAGTACTGCTGCCAGCGCCGCCTCGACGACCGCATGTCCGATACCTACACCTTCTACACCGCCGAAGAGCCGGGCGCGCTGGGCCGGGACGAGGCGCGACCCGGCGGTGCCGAGGCCGCCCCTTCCCGGCGCTGGCTGGAGCGCATGCGGCGGACCTTCGAGGAGCCCACGTCGTCGCTGGCCGCGCAGATCCTGGCCAGCGTGTCAGTGGTGTTCGTGATCGTGTCCATGGTGGTGCTGTGCGCCAGCACACTGCCCGATTGGCGCGCCGCGGCGGCCGACAACCGCAGCCTGGATGACCGGAGCAGGTACTCCGCCGGCCCTGGGAGGGAGCCCTCCGGGTAGGATGCACTGCTTCTCTGCCCGTCGCGTCCGTCCTGTCGCGTCTGTCCGTCCAGTCCGTCGGTCCAGTCTCCGTCCTGTTTGCCTCTGGGAGGCCGAGCGAAGTTGGGTTCTGGGCCCAGCGAGGCCCCAGGAGCGGTCAGCCAGGGGGTTGGGTTGGCCCTCACTACCTCCCGCCCCTTCCCCCAGCTCTAGCCGGCTCTGGTCTGCACACTAGACGCCCCTCTTGAAGGCGAATCGCCAGCCTTGGGGAGGGGCAGATAGAGATGACAAGCCTCTCATCTTTGTAGCTTACTTTCGAGCAAATAGGAACCGGTTAATTAGATTTCTCTGAACTTCTGTTGTTAGTATTCAAGAATTTAACCTTGGGCTAAGAGACGTTTGAATTATTTGCCAATTTTTGATGGTGTTTGAAAAAAGGAAGTCTTGTTATCATGGAGTGTGGTCGGCTGTACACTGCCCACAAGTACACGCTGCATAATATGTTGTAATGGAATTGTGATAAAGAAGATTAATTTAGCGATAGACTCTTAAATAATGGATGTCTGTGCCCTTTTCCTTTCCTTTTCCTATCAAGTACGGAGTTAGTAAAGCACCTGTCCACCATTTGGTGCCAGAGATTCGCAATGTGACTTCTAGAAGATCTTCAGGCTGAGGAGGGGGGAAAAAAAAGGAAACTGCTCTAAACCCAGAAACAGTATTACAGTATTTAGTGGTTTTTCTTTTCACTTTACTAGGATGAAAGAAAAATATTTTGATCTTTCCTTCGATGGTGCTTACTTTTCAGTGGTGATAACATACTTCTGTTTTTAGTACTAGTGAGTTTATTTTGCATGTTTGGTGGGAGGAATAAACAGGAAAGTTGGACTTTCAAGGGAGACAGCCTCTTTGCGCACAAACACATCATTGTATCACGTGTTTTATCTTAGATCCTAATTTAAAATTCCCCTTCCATTCATTAAAAAAATTCAGTTTGCAAAAAAAAAAATTCAGTTGCCTGCCTGATAGTCTTTTCCTCATAGACATGTGCGTGGTTCCAGTGGTACTATGTGCCTGATACTGGAGTGTGTTACTTCCACATAATATTCTTCCTTTGGAGAGTAAAGATTTTTATTTAATTCTCAGACACAATAAAAACTGTCTGAGACCATGGAGTCCATTACTGATAAGCTGCCTTGGCATAAAATCCAAGATACATACTTTGAAAGGAGATTCATTAGGAAACTCATTTTGTTTAATGTATTAGGTTCTGACTTTTTTGATTTACAGGAAAGAATTACTTATTTGGAAAAAAAAAGAATTACTTATTTGGTACTGCATCAGTACAATGAAATTAATTTATGTACCTAAATACATCAAGACTCCTTGATTCTTTTAGAGGGCCATAGGAAAATGAACCATAAATGATTGGCCTTGAAATGATTCACTACTAATGGTAGAATTCTAAGGTTAGTGAAAATTCAAGGTACATCAGCAAAGGAAACAGGAGAAATGAGTTATTAGTACAAATATTGAACGGAATTGGCTAAGTTACTATATAAGCAAAAACAGTGAAATGACTTGAGTAATAATTTTGGTAGGAGAAAGGGCATTTGAGGAGGAGAGGAGTGCAGTCTGGAGATCATTAAGGTAAGGCATATGGAAAGAAATGAGAGACATGAATAATAATTTTAGGGCAAGAAAGAGAAAGAAACCACAAAGGGAAAAGACAGATGGAAAAGAGGAAGACTGCAAAAGAAGTGAAGGAGGAAGATAAATGTTTAATTTGTGTATATGCATTTTATGTATGTATATAATTATTCAAGTCAGAACTGTTTCCTAGATACGCAGATATTTCAGGCAGAAACAATGTTTTTCTTGGCTTAATGGCCCAGTTTTAAGCTTTACTCTGAGTGTAGGTATGTGAATACCATTACCTGTAATCCCAAACAGATAAACTGAAAGATGACTGACTGACTTGAGGGTGCACATCGCAGAGTGAGCTTCCCACAGGCCACCTCTAACAGAGAGCTAAGGTGGTATTTTGAGAACAATGTCTCAAACCCTGTTTGCTTGTGGCTGCTGAAATTAGTCTTTTTGTCTGAAACATCATTCTGATCATTTGACCAAGTTTGGCATCTGCCAGATAAGGTCAAAACTTCTCTCTTGGCCAAGAGAGAAGGTTCTTTACCTTTTATTTTGTTCTGTTTGGCTGCACCAAGTGGCTTACGGGATTTTAGTTCCCCAATGAGGGATTGACTAGTGAGAATGCAGAGTGCTAACCACTGGACTGCCAGGGAATTCCCCAAGGCTCTTTAACATTTAATCATGATCTGCCTTTGTTAACTTACCCATTGTAATTTGCAAGCATCTTTTGAGTATCTGCTGTGTTTAAGGTGCTATTGGTATTCCAAATATTGCAGCTTTCTTTTTGGTGAGGAAAAAGTGTCAGGTTGGCAATGTAGGATCAGAGGCACAATTGATCAACAGCTGCGTTGTTTGAGAAGGTCTTCAAGGTGGAAGAGGATGGAACCAAGCCATCTTTGGAAGGGTGCTGAGGTTGTGCACTGCCCAACACTGGTGAAAGGTATCATTTATATAAACTACAGTGTTCGAAACCTGTGCAACCATGTGTACCCCATGTGGGAATAAAACAAGGAGACTTTCCCAGCTAATAGGAACATCCAGGGCCTAGGCATAGTGTTTATATATGCACATTTGTGCTGTGCTGCGCTGTCGGGTCCAGCTGTCTGTGACCCCATGGACTGTAGCCCGCCAGGCTCCTCTGTCCATGGGCATTCTCCAGGCAAGAGCACTGGAGTGGGTTGCCATTTCCTCCTCCAAGGGATGTCCCCAACCCAGCCATCATACCCAGGTCTCCCGCACTGCAGGCAGATTCTTTACCGTCTGAGCCTCCAGGGAGGCCCATGAATACTGCAGTGGGTAGCCTGTCCCTTCCCCAGGGGCTTTTCCCAATCAGGAATTGAACTGGGGTCTCCTGCATTGCAGGTGGATTCTTTACCTGCTGAGATACCAGGGAAGCCAATATTATGTTTACGGAGTGTGAATTCAGTGATGGAGAGAGAAGGGGGGCAGTGAGTACAGTGTTAGGAGGCCTGGAATGAGAGGGAGAATAATTTTATTCTGCAGGCAGTGGTTAACCGTTTGCAGGTTCAGGGTGAGTGGATCATGCATATAAAGTGACCAATGTTGTGAACTGTGTACTGAAAGTTGGAGATGGTGGAGGCTGGAAACAGGAGGATGAGTTTGGAGATTTTTGCAAAGGGAGGGAATAAGAACTTGGATGGCTTTGAGGTGGTGAGAATAGAGCTGAAATGACAACTCTGGGAGAATTAGGAAATAACAAAGTAAATCCAGGGCATCGGGAGGATACAGGCTCAGGGACTGAGTAAGTGGATTTCCAGGAGCTTGGGGAGCACTCTCTGCCACCTGCGGGCTCCATTTGTCCAGACCAGCCTACTCACATGTTCCTGAACCACCTGGGCATCCCTTAGTGTGCAGTCAGTTCCTTGCCTATAGAAATCGGATCATTCATCAAGTCCAAATCAGAGTCTATGTCCCTTTTGAAACCTTTCCTGACTACCCTAGTATATATGATGTTCTTCTTGAGTTTGTTGATGCATTGCTTCCTCATGCAACTTATTTGGCAGCTGTGATATCCTTCCTAGCATGGTAGTTATTTTTTCATATAAACATGTCTTAGCTCCCAAACTAGATGAGATGCAAAGCCCTAGAAGGCATCTAAAGTCTTTTATACTATTTATTATGATAGCATCTTTTAGAAGAAATTATTATTCAGGCATAATAAATATCTGTTGTTTATCTTGTGTTTTAAAGTAGAAACTTCCAGGAGTATATCTTCTCTTGCATAGTTGGAGGAGCTGTGGGAAGCATTCAGGCTGAGGCATTCATCTAGGTGGTGGGACTCTTAATTGAGGAAGATGAGATCCTGCGCTAGAATGAGAAAGAAAGCCTAAATCAAGGAATAATTATTTATCAAGTACTTATTGTGCAAAAAGAGTAAGGGTGAGAATATATCTTTAATAAAAGAATTTTCTGAAGTTTTGAAATGCCACACAATCTTTTTGCAAGAAATCTTGAGATGTCTTCCAAAGAAAACTTTTTATATGTGAATATGATCCTCTTAAATTGCTTTTTAAAGGGGGTGGTTAAAAATCATATAAATAGTAATTTAAAGTTCAGAAGCCACACAAGCAAGCGTCTCTCCATTTCCCAGACATGGACTTCTTTCCCTAAATGCAACCAAAGTTACAGCGTGTGTGTGTCATTTCAGAGACATTCTCTGTATTTATAAGCATGTCATATATGTTTCCTGTGAAAGGGGATGGTCACCCACTCCAGGATTCTTGCCTAAAGAATTCCATGGACAGAGGAGCCTGGCAGGCTGCAGTCCGTGGGGTGGCAAAGAGTCGGACATGACTGAACAACTAACACATATATATTTAAAACAAACAAAAAGAAACAGTGTGAGAACAGTGTCATGAAGCCTTTTTTAACTCACCAGCATGTCATGGAGATTGTTCCATATTGGTCTATAAAGAGCTACCCAGTTTTTTATGGAGCTGCATGACATTCCATTGTATGAGTGCCCTAGAAATTTTGGACTCTTAATATTGTTCGTTGTCTGTAGGAAATGCTGCAGTGAATAATCCTTGTACATGTACACTATTTTGCTTTTATGAAAGAATATCCACAGAATAAATTCCTGAAAGTTGTCATTGGTCAAAGGGCATTTGCACTTGTCATTTTTTATTATATGTGTGTGTGTATATATATATATATATATATATATATATATATATATATTAGTTTTTATTTAAGTATAATTGCTGTACAATGTTGTATTAGTTTTAGGTGTATAGCGAAGTGATTGATTTGTATATTTGTATTTAGATCCTTTTCCATTATAGGTTATTACAGGATATTGAATGTAGTTTCTTATGCTGTACAGTAGGTCCTTGTTGGTACTCCATGTTTT